TTAAACTCGTCATCCATAGCATGACGCCAATAAGCATTTTTTGAGGCAACAAAGTAGGTTGTTGGTTCACTATTGGGAAGGGGTGTATTTGGTAGTATAGTAGCCTGAAAGGTTTTGGGTTTAAAGATACCGGCTTTGCCACGGGTTAACATGGGATGAGTATTGGGGGGGGGGGTGGCACGGGCGGTGGTGATTCGGGGGTAGCCGGGAAGGACCCGAAACGGATCGAGCTGGAGATGTTGTGGTATAAGGTGGTTCGGGTTGGTTGTGAGTGTGGGTGGTGGTTGTGGATGTATTGTGGGTGACGGTCGAAAGGGTGATGAGGGGTGGTTGGGTAGTGGGTGGATGTGTGGGGGAAGGTGTTGAGGGACCTTATGAGTATGTTGAAAAAAGGGGAAGGACGCCAATGAATGATGTATTTGTGGAGGAGGAAATAGACTCATAGGGAAACTCATTTTCGACAAATTTGACATGACAAGATATGTAGACTTTATGAGTTTGTTGGTCAAGACAGCGATAACCCTTGGAGGTAGGATGATAGCCCAAAAAAATACAAGGACGGGTTCGGGGTTGTAATTTGTGAGTAATATGAGGGCGTAGCCAAGGGTAGGCAAGACACCCAAAGACGCGGAGGTTGGTATAATTGGGAAGTTTTTGGTAAAGGAGTTGATAGGGTGATTTGTTGGAGAGGGTGTGGCTGGGCATTCTGTTAATGAGGTAGTTTGCGGTGGCTAGAGATTCTACCCAAAAGGAGACAGGGAGATGAGATTGATGTAGAAGAGTAACCACCGTTTCAATGAGATGGCGATGCTTACGCTCAGCCACCCCATTCTGTTCGGGAGTGTATGGATAGGAGGTTTGATGTATAATTCCCAGGGATTGCAGAAACTGGCCAAAGATGTTATTTACATATTCCTTTCCATTGTCACTTCATAAAAGTTTAACATGAGAATTGAATTGTGTTTTGACCATTTTTTCAAAAGTGACAAAGGTGGTGTATGCCTGTGATTTGTGTTTTAGTGGGTACAACAAAGTGTATTTTGTAAAATCATCCACAAAACAAATATAATAGCGAAAACCAGCAAATGAAGGAATAGCAGTAGGACCCCATAGGTCAGAATGAATAAGTTGAAAAGGTGCAGTTGTATGCTTCTCAGATAAAGTAAAAGGTAATTTATGAGATTTAGCAATTGCAGAGGATTCACAATTGTTTACATGAATGGAAGAAAAACCTAATTGAGACATTAAAGAATTTATTATTTGAGTAGACGAGTGACCCAGACGACTGTGCCATAACAGACTGTGGCCATCATCCGAAAGAGCCACCAGAGCCGCAGGAACGCTTTCTGAAACTGGGTGCGTAATGAACTTGTGCCAGGAAGAACGTACAGACCATGCTTACAGGGGCCCTGAAAAATCACCCTCTTGGTAGTATTGTCTAGGATCTGAAAATCATTAGAGGTGAACAAGAGTGAGCAATTATTGTCTTTTGTGAATTGGTGAACTGAAAGGAGATTGGTTTTAATAGAAGAGACGTGGGTAAGGTTACCTAGGTGAAAGATAGCGGTGGGGGTTTTAATGGTACCCGTGCTAGTGTGAGATATATTAAGGGACTCACCGTTGCCAACAGTAATACCATTGGAGCCATGATATGGATTTGGAGCGTTAAGCTTGGATAGATCAGAAGTAACGTGCATGTTGGCCCCAGTATCCAACAGCCATTCAGAGGAGGGGCCGGCTTGAGATGTATAATTGGCACGGTTATCACTATTTTGGCTCTCCTCATACCGAAACCAGCAACGAACAGTGGTGTTTCCTGTTTTCTGACAGATTTGACAAGTTGGACAATCCCGCTCGTAAGTGCCCTGCCCGCCGCTGGAAGATGACTGCCCGCCGCTGTCGAAGGAGTGCAGGCTGTTGTTGCTGCCGTGCTGCTGACCGTCGTACGACAGACGACTGCCCTGCCGACCGCCGCACCCGCGGCCTCCGCTGTTTCTGCCGTAGTTACCGCGACTCCCCTGCCGGCTGCCACCAAGCCCCCCTCGATAGTTCTAGCTTTCGGTGAGGGCGGTGGCCGGCTCCATAACAACGGCTTCTTAGAGAAGAAGTTTGCTCTCCAGATCCACGTTGATTTCTTCACTTTTTGGCCACGAGGAGAGAGTAGCCAGGTCAACGGGCGTTGGACTGATGCGAACCGCCTGTTTAATGGAGGAGTAAGCTAATGGGAGCCCCCGAACGACGCACATGACAAGATCTTTTTCGGGAATGATTTCGTTCACGGTGTCAAGGGCTGTGATGATGGTGGAGACCTCGTCTAAATACTCCGCCATAGTTTTCGTGCCTTTGGTAATTGTGTGGAGATGATCACGCAATTGAAAAATATGAGAGTGGGAAATTGATGCATAGCATGTTGCGAGGGCCGTCCACAGGGCTGAAGCAGTTGTGTAGGATCGGACGTGTTTCTGAACCGTGGGAGAGATGACCGCAATCAAACATGATCGGATCTGGCCATCCACGACTTTCCAGGTGGCATGGGCCGGATTGGTTTTTTCTGATTTGTCTGTGGCGGTGATGACTGTCGGCGGCGGTTCTGTACTTCCATCGACGTATTTGAGAAGGTAATTGGCCTCAAGGGTTGTAAGAATGGTGATTTTCCATGTAGGGTAATTTATGTCTGATAATTTTTCGGGAATCAGAGCATGAAGATGCCTGAGAAGGAGTTTAACGCCAGAAGGAAGTGAATCGAGAAGATCCACCTCGGTTGTCATGGCTGCCGCCGCCCAAGAGAAGAGAGGGAACGATCGGTGCCCTAAAGAGAGAAAAAAACCTAGATAAAAGAAAATCTAGGTTTTCTGGCTCTTGATACCATGAAGGAATATTGATTGTATTGAAGTGTTAACCTAATAAGGGAATACATGGGTGATATATATAGGAGATATAGAAAGGAGTACTAATCCTAATAGGACTAGGATTAAGGAGTACTAATCCTAATAGGACTAGGATTAGTACACAGTAAATACTAATATTATTTAATACTATCTATTATTAATTATGATCACTATTTCGATTAAAAGCAAAGAAGAACATTTCAAGCACATTATCACTATACATAGCCTATATGTAGGTTTAACTTAGTCAATAGTTGTCCAATTACTTCCTTGGAGTAATTGATGTCGAACTTCTGTTTACTATTTAAAGTTGTCTTAAATGAATATGCATGCCCAAACTTATACATAGATAATCTGGCTAACCGAAAAATTGCAAGATGATGTTACTTAACGCATGTCAAACTATAGCACCTCGGACTTCTAACATGCCTAAGGTTAATTTTACTAATATATGGTGATATTTCCTTTGGTGAATGCACCAGAACATGATAGCAGAGATAGCTTCTAATCGAGGGAGCTAAAAGAGTACCACTAGTGTAAGGTAAAAGAATAGAAGTATGTGTATCCTCGAGGCAGTAAACACAATAGTTAAATCGGCACCTTATTCATCAAGAATATGGTTAGTAGTTAACTCTCTGGATTTTTGCTCATGATTTCCCCTAGAAACCTTGCTCGAGACACTAAAAGTAGTAACAAGAAAATTTATTGTGAACAACCAATTCATTTGCCAGCCGGTCCTACACCTCACACATAAACTGAGCAACTTTTCCAAATGAAATCAACAATCAACCAGTGATATAACCAACAAAACACACCATTGTAAAAGGATATATAATACTGCAGAAAATTACCTGAAGAAGATAATTATGCAGCCAATCCAGTGTCTGTGGAAATGTTGCAGCTGATACGTCAACAACATTCAAACCCTGTTCACAGGATCATGAAGTTTGTGGATAATAATTGGATCTTCACTATAAAGAATATCAAACGGAAGCAAATAGAAAACGAGCACATTGATCATACCTGTGATGTAAAGGAACACAGGTAGTCCTGAATAGTCATCAAGTTAGTTATCACTTTGTCTTTGACTTGGAAAAAAGTTCCTAAAGTGAATTAACAGCTAAACAACAAACGCAAAAAGGAAAATGCTCTCAAGCATACAAATACACTATGCCCTATGTGAATGCATATTTTCATCATAAATATATAAATGTAGGACAATCATTCTCCATCTTTGCTGTTATTTTCTGTTTCCGTTTTTGTTTATCGGTCTTTTTTTCAGGAAAGAAGAATCTACCGCTATCAAATGAATATCGAGGGAACCTGCCCCATAATTACATATGAATATCAATTACAAAATCAAATGCTCATTCGTGAAGACAGTAAGAGTAGATGTCAGTAAAAGTTTCAACAGAGAGAATTTGTGACAAGGACATGTACCAGAGACTGATAAGATCATGCACCAAATTATATTGAAAGAATCAAAGCATTTAAAACCTGGTCAAGATCCTTCTCCGTGAATGTACGAGTAGCTACCCGCTCCTCCAGAAATTCCTGGTTATTGATTAACAGTAGGAAACTTCCTCCATTAGTTAAGCTCCAAAACAGAAAATCACGGAGCATTCCTATTCCTTTGTGTCACACATTTCAATATAAGATAATGTAAAGGACTTATTTTACTTGCATATTACATCAATAACAAGAATTACAATATGGAGAGATGTGGAAGGCCATTGGGAACGATTATAAATGTAAGACAACGACATGTTCTCCTTGACTTCAAGTATAAGAAGAATACGAAGCAAACATAAATTCAGTAGTAAAGAACTCTAATTCACTTGTCATAATTTTTTAATCTAGAAGGGAAATAAACTAAGAGAAATCACACCACCTTATGATCAAAGTCCGCCATCCTTAGAACTATCGGAACAAATATTGGCAGATCACCCAAACTTTGTTTTCTGTGAATAGGATTTTGATCTGCTCCTGAATCATTAACTGTTTCACCAGCATGGCCAGAAAATTTGTTACGAGACACCGGTTCTGCCAATATTTTAAAAGGAAAAAAAAGGAGAAGTGAAAATATTGCAGCAAGACGTACCTATATTTTCATAAATTTTCTCGACAATATCCATTGATTTTAGAGAATCTGCTAGCTGGTCTGACTCAGAAGCTTCTCCATCTGAACTAACATTCTCAGGATATCGATCTTTACCATTACTCTGACTGCTAAGTCCAATACTGTGATTAGTTTCCCTTTGTATTTCCTTGTGGTCTTTTACCTTCGAAAAGTTTAGTTCTTCGTAGTCTACAGTGGGCGGTGGTAGTAATTTATGTTCTTCCATCATGAATATTCTAGGATCTAAATGTATGCCCTGCCATTGTTACCATGAAAGAGAGATCACTAGATGGTCAAATCGTAATTGGCAAAATGAAGGTAGAGGCCAGAGGGAACTTCATTTTTGAACAAGTTGATGTTATATATTATTCTCGAAAATTGCATATAGCAGCGAAAGGGAACTTCTTATCGGCTTTTAATTGTTGAATAAGCTGGTGCTATATAAATCAGCTGGTATCAACAACTGTAATACTGTATGCTACTCGTATTCCATCTTTACCAATTAAAGAGTTCAAAAAAAATTGAAAAAAGAAAAACAGAAAGTGAACTTTAATAAATAATTAAGCATGGGCGAATTGTGATACCTCAATTATAATCGGTTTGCCATCTTTCGTTGCTTTTCTCAAATCACCAGCCAAACCTACACAAATGAGGAAATATGGATTAAATTCCTTGATATTCTCTGAATCAGCTACTTATACTGATAGGTCTCGAATTACCTTTCCATATTATTCTGCATTCTCTGCAAAATTCAGTCATTAGCTCCTCCGGTGAGTTGAAGCCACGTGTCCATACTGGAGAAGACATCAAAGGTGCACTGACATATATTTACAAGGAGAGTGAATATCACTATAATGGAATTCTCAGCAAAAACTCCTAAGGCATAATACACAACAAACACGCAAACTTGGCCTCGAGAAATTAGTAAGCACTCCAACTTTGAGAGTGCACATCTAGACACATCAACATGATCTCAATTGGCAACTAAACGCTCCAGCTTATCCCCATTGTGTCTCGTGGACACCTGGACCGAAGCTGATGTGACACATAATTTCTGAAGGTGTCATGATAATCATTTTGTACGTTGGAGTATTCAACTGACACAATGGAGAACGATTGAGGTATCTAGATATGCATACTCAAAGTTGGAATGCTTACTTACCGTCCAAGGCCAAGTTTGAGTATCTATTTATGTCATAATGTCTAAAATATATCAAAACTGAAGAATTCAATCTGCAGAGATAGTACGTACACTGTTGATGTGCGCAACAATTCATAAACCATTTCTGTCTGTTAAAAAAAATGAAAAGCCATGAATGGATAACAAAGCAACGGAGTACATGCTTCGAAGTCCAAATAAAGAAATATGGAAGAAAATCCAAGAAATTTATAAGGAATAGATACCTGCAAGACATTTGGCAAGTTCAGGCGTTGTGCGAGTTGGGTAGCAATAGTAGACTTCCCAACACAGGCAGTACCACAAACAAGAATTACAAGAGGAACTCTCTGATGGTGAAATCTAGGAACATATACAAAAAATTAATGGGTGTGATTAAAACTACACTTTGCAAAATAGGTATACCATAAACAAGAATTACCAGGCGAGAAAGAATATATCACTCACCTTGTCATCATTTTATAACGTTTTATATACTCGTCTCCAAAACCTCTTCGTTTCATAAGCTGCAGAGGATTCAATGAAATTCAGTATAGGTCTCCAACTCAAACTTTGAGAACTTCAAACTATAAAGAAAGCTAAGGGCAGGTTGAACATGAACTATAATGAGATGTTTATATAGTTATAATGAGTAAGAAAAAATGAAATTGTATCTAAATATATTTTGCATTTGATTTGTCTTAGTTAAATCAACATGAACTAGAATGAGATGCTTACGTATGATAAAGCAAACGAGGAAACTGGACCTAAATCTCTTCTGCATGATCTATCCTTGTTTTAAAAAAAAATTGGTTGAGGCAATAGGTTCCGTGGTAATATCTTGTAGAAGTGGTTGTCATAAGAGAAAAAAATTGACCACTTTTTTCCTTTGTTAGATTGCAAGATATGTACATTACTAATACTTTAAAAGCTTGTTTTATTAGGGATAATAACAGATAGTATTAAATAAATAGTATTTAAATAATATTAGAATTTATTGTATACTAATCCTAGTCCTATTAGGATTAGTACTCCTAAATCCTAGTCCTATTAGGATTAGTACTCCTTCCTATATCTCCTCTATATATCTCCCATGTATCAATATTCCTTCATGGTATCAAGAGCCAGAAAACCTAGATCTTCTTTTCTCTAAGTTTTTTTGTCTCTTTAGGGCACCGATCGTTCCCTCTCTTCTCTTGGGCGGCAGCAGCCATGACAACCGAGGTGGATCCTCTCGATTCACTTCCTTTTGGCGTTAAAATCCTTCTCAGGCATCTTCATGCCCTGATTCCTGAAAAATTATCAGACATAAATTATCCTACATGGAAAATCACCGTTCTTACAGCCCTTGAGGCCAATTACCTTCTCAAATACATCGATGGAAGTACAGAACCGCCGCCGACAGTCATCACCGCCACGGACAAATCAGAAAAAACCAATCCGGTCCATGCCACCTGGAAAGCCGTGGATGGCCAGATCCGATCATGTTTGATTGCGGTCATCTCTCCCACGGTTCAGAAACACGTCCGATCCTACACAACTGCTTCAGCCCTATGGACGGCCCTCGCAACACGCTATGCATCAATTTCCCACTCTCATTTTTTTCAATTGCGTGATCGTCTACACACAATTACCAAAGGCACGAAAACTATGGCGGAGTATTTAGACGAGGTCTCCACCATCATCATAGCCCTCGACACCGTGAACGAAATCATTCCCGAAAAAGATCTCGTCATGTGCGTCTTTCGGGGGCTCCCACAAGCTTACTCCTCCATTAAACAGGCGGTTCGCATCAGTCCAACGCCCGTTGACCTGGCTACTCTCTCCTCGTGGCTAAAAAGTGAAGAAATCAACGTGGATCTGGAGAGCAAACTTCTTCTCCGAGAAGTCGCTGTTATGGAGTCGGCCACCGCCCTCACCGCAAGCCAGAACTATCGCGGGGGGCATGGTGGCGGCCGGCAGGGGAGCCGCGGCGGCTACGGTAGAAACAGCGGAGGCCGCGGGCGCGGCGGTCGGCAGGGCAGTCGTCCGCCGTACGACGGTCAGCAGCACGACAACAACAACAATCTGCACTCCTTCGGCAGCGGCGGGCAGTCATCTTCCAGCGGCGGGCAGGGCACTTACGAGCGGGATCGTCCAACTTGTCAAATCTGTCAAAAAACAGGTTACACCGTTGTTCGTTGCTGGTTTCGGTATGAGGAGAGCCGAAATAGTGATAACCATTGCCAATTATGCATCTCAAGCCGGCCCTTCCTTTGAATGGTTGTTGGATACTGGGGCCAACATGCACGTTACTTCTGATCTATCCAAGCTTAACGCTCTAAATCCATGTCATGGCTTTAATGGTATTACTGTTGGCAACGGTGAGTCCCTTAATATTTCTCACACTAGTACGGGTACCATTAAAACCCCATCGCTATCTTTCACCTAGGTAACCTTACCCACGCCCCTTCTATTAAAACCAATCTCCTTTCAGTTCACCAATTCACAAAAGACAATAATTGCTCACTCTTGTTCACCTCTAATGATTTTCAGATCCTAGACAATACTACCAAGAGGGTGATTTTTCAGGGCCCCTGTGAGCATGGTCTGTACGTTCTTCCTGGCACAAGTTCGTCTGCCTACCCAGTTTCAGAAAGCGTTCCAGTGGCTCCGGTGGCTCTTTCAGCTGATGGTCACAGTCTGTTGTGGCACAGTCGTCTGGGTCACCCGTCTACTCAAATAATAAATTCTTTAATGTCTCAATTAAGTTTTTCTTCCATTCATCTAAACAATTGTGACTCCTGTTCAATTGCTAAATCTCATAAATTACCTTTTACTTTATCTGAGAAGCGTACAATTGCACCTTTTCAACTTATTCATTCTGACCTATGGGGTCCTACTGCTGTTCCTTCATTTACTGGTTTTCGCTATTATATTTGTTTTGTGGATGATTTTACAAAATACAATTGGTTGTACCCACTAAAACACAAATCACAGGCATACACCACCTTTGTCACTTTTGAAAAAATGGTCAAAACACAATTCAATTCCCATGTTAAACTTTTTCGAAGTGACAATGGAAATGAATATGTAAATAACATCTTTGGCCAGTTTCTGCAATCCCTAGGAATTATACATCAAACCTCCTGTCCATACACTCCCGAACAAAATGGGGTGGCTGAGCGTAAGCATCGCCATCTCATTGAAACGGTGGTTACTCTTCTACATCAATCTCATCTCCCTGTCTCCTTTTGGGTAGAAGCTCTAGCCACCGCAAACTACCTCATTAACAGAATGCTCAGTCACACCCTCTCCTACAAATCACCCTATCAACTCCTTTACCAAGAACTTCCCAATTATACCAACCTCCGCATCTTTGGGTGTCTTGCCTACCCTTGGCTACGCCCTCATATTATTCACAATTTACAACCCCGATCCCGTCCTTGTATTTTTTTGGGCTATCATCTTACCTCCAAGGGTTATCGCTGTCTTGACCCACAAACTCATAAAGTGTACATATCTCGTCATGTCAAATTTGTCGAAAATGAGTTTCCCTACGAGTCTATTTCCTCCTCCACAAATACATCATTCATTGGCGTCCTTCCCCTTTTTCCAACATACTCACAGGGTCCCTCACCACCTTCCCCCACACCTCCACCCACTATCCAACCACCCCTCATCACCCCTTAGACCGTCACCCACAATACACCCGCAACCACCACCCACACTCACAACCAACCCGAACCACCCCATACCCACAACATCTCCAGCCCGATCCATTTTGGGTCCTTCCGGGCTACCCCCGAATCACCACCGCCCGTGCCACCCCCCAATACTCATCCTGTGTTAACCCGTGGCAAAGTCGGTATCTTTAAACCCAAAATCTTTCAGGCTACCATACTACCAAATACACCCCTTCCCGATAGTGAACCAACAACCTACTCTGTTGCCTAAAAAAATGCTTATTGGCGTCATGCTATGTATGACGAGTTTAAGGCTTTGACTGATCAGAAAACTTGGGTTCTTGTACCTAAGCCCCATGGGCGACACCCAGTGGGCTGTAAATGGGTGTACAAAATTAAACACAATGCAGATGACAGTATTTCCAGGTACAATGCTCATTTGGTTGCTAAAGGCTACAATCAGGAGTATGGGCTTGATTACTACGAGACATTCAGTCCTGTTATTCGGCAGGAAACCATTCGCCTTGTACTGTCACTCTCCGTGCGCAACAATTGGCTCATCAATCAGTTGGATGTTTTCAATGCTTTTCTTCATGGCATGCTTGATGAAACTATCTACATGACGCAACCACCGGGCTATGTTGGTCCCCGCTTCCCTCAACATGTTTGCAAACTCCAGAAGTCTCTGTATGGGCTCAAGCAAGCCCCCCGTGCTTGGTACACACGTTTGAAAATGTTCCTCCAGGGACTCGGCTTCACATGTTGCGTACACGACACGAGTCTGTTTAATCGACATTCAGCACACGGTACAGTCATTCTTCTTGTCTATGTAGATGATATCGTTATTACAGGCTCTACTGCAGCTCTCATTCAGGATGTCACTCGAGCTATGCATACTACCTTCAAAATGAAGGACCTTGGCCCGTTACATTATTTTCTGGGAATGGAGGTTTCTCGGACAGGCAGCGGCTTGTTTCTTCATCAGTCAAAATATGCTCGAGATCTATTGCAGAAAGCTGGACTAGAAAAATGCACTAGTCAACCAACACCGATGGCAGTCTCTTCGTCTACGAATGGAGCCGACACCCCCTTTGCCGATATCACCCACTTCCGCAGCCTCATTGGGGCTCTACAGTATCTGGCCATTACCCGTCCTGACATCCAGTTTGCTGTCAACCGAGTTGCTCAGCGCATGCATCAACCAAGTGAACATGATTACCATTGTCTAAAACGTATTCTTAGGTACATTTTTGGCACTCTTGGTCGTGGTTTACTCATTCGACCTGGGGACTTGGAGCTTCGGAGTTTCTCAGATTCAGATTGGGCGAATGATAAAAACGACAGAAAATCTACATCGAGGTTTCTCGTTTTTTTGGGGCCAAACCTGATTTCCTGGTGTACAAAAAAATAACCCAAGGTCTCTCGGTCCTCGACTGAAGTTGAATACCGCGCTCTTGCTCTTCTTGCTGCTGAGACCATGTGGGTCACATATATTCTTCGCGAACTCCGCGCCACTCACACTGTTCCTGCTCTCTATTCTGACAACAAATCAAGCATTTGTGTGGCCAAGAATTCCGTCCTACACACCAGAATGAAGCATGTTGATATTGATTGTCTCTTTGTTCGCGATGAAGTTCAGGCCGGCACCATGACTGTGCAATATGTACCCACTGAAGAACAACCGGCTGATATTCTCACCAAGCCTCTCCCGAGCCGACAGCACGATTACCTCAGTTCCAAGCTTCCGTTCGCTTTCGCTTAGCTCAGCTTGAGGGGGGATAATAACAGATAGTATTAAATAAATAGTATTAAATAATATTAGTATTTACTGTGTACTAATCCTAGTCCTATTAGGATTAGTACTCCTTCTTATATCTCCTATATATATCTCCCATGTATTCCCTTATTATGTTAACACTTCAATACAATCAATATTCCTTCAAGGGACATGCACATTTTTGTGTCAAACATGATTATTCAACAACACCTGAAAACATCGAGGACATCTCAGCTTACGGATGATCCTCATCCAAAGTTCTCTTCTGATTTAACCGTTCTAACTGCATTTTCAAGTTAGTACCAAGAAAAGAAATTTTTTTAAAGATGTTTCTTCAAATGCCTAGCAATTTGAGGAAATCATGAAGCTATATTGCTCACTTTTTGAGTCAGTATAAGCTAAAGCAGGGTAATGAAGTCATATGTACTTGTTCATAGTATTTGTTTATGAGTCGGTATATGAAAGAGATGCTCCTGAGAATAACCAACAGAAAAAAGCAGAAGACTGTATCCAACATTCTAGCAAAATGAGAGGCATGTTCTCTTTGCATTTGCAATATCGAATTCATCAATGAAAATTCCGCATCTCATGATCAAAGAGATGGAATGATCAGAACTCAGAAGCAATCATGCAAACGTTATCTGAGCATCAAAAAACTGAGTGAAAGAGGAACCAAAGGATATACACACACAACAGCAAGTGATACCTTAAACAAGTTTGTCTCTAAATCTGCTTGTGAGCTGCACAGGAAGTAGTAATTAAACAATTAGTTTTACAGAAAAGTAGATATATAAAACATTGAATTGAGAAGAATATATAAGTTACAACGTCAAACGTACACATCAAGAAGGCTGTTGTCAACAAGAAGCTTTTTAAGATCAAGAGCAATTTTAAGTGACACGTGATTTGGTATCTGCAAACATGCGAAAATGCATATTAACTCCAAATTGCGCATACTATAAAGTTATACGGAAAAACATGATCAGGTAGTAAGGCCTTCATTTCAAGAAATCAAACTACCATGACGACTAACAAGGACTTGCAATTTAACAGTCATCTTATTTTCTAGTGAAATAACAATATTACAATGGCAATACCTTTTTCACCAACTTAGTAGATAATATATCAACTTAGAGTAAGTACTGAGAAAAATTATCTCAATAGGTGGAACAATATGCATTTGAATTTGTTTGTATAAGAATACTCACAATGTACATCAATGATGATATCTGTTTCAAAATTTGATTTGTCAAATAACAAATCATTGATTATTTTAATTTTAATGTGAAAAGTAAGGTGTATCTTTTGTGTTGTCTCCGTCACATATCCACGGTACCAAAAAATGATCTTTAGCGGCAATTCATTAACGATAATAGCTTAATTACCGCTAAATATGTATTTTTTATAGAAATTATCTCTCTTTCTAAATGTCTCTAAAGTCTTTAGCGACATTGAATCCAATAACAGTTAACTAAATTGAATCCAATGACAATTAACTAAATGTTGCTGATAAAAAATTTTACACTCGCTAAAACATATTTCGTTGTTGTGCTTGTTAGGTACTATGTGGAACTTATTAAGTACTCCCTAATCCCTATTTATTTATTTTAGGTGTTTTGTACATGTAATATTAACCTTATGTAGAAATCGTAGATGATACACTACACATTACTAATTAAATTAACTGCATGCTACATGTTATAAATAAGATCTTTTAGTTGTATTGGAAGAGATAAAGGTCAATCATTGGGCTAAACCCAAACTCGATAAAATGAAATGGTTGAATAATTAAAATGAGATTATAACACACTGACTTTTGGAGCTAGGTAGATCCATAATTTATTTTTATTTTATTTTTTAAAAAAAAAGAAGTGTTTGTGACTGTTATAAACTTAAGAATGAGTCAAAAGATAATGTAGTTATTCTAAATAATTGACCTATCGATTGATATAACTAAGTTACATGTAAAGTGTATTAGTATAACAAATATAATAGAAACTCAAAAAACAAAAGATTACTAATTGTTATTATATGTAGAAGAAAAATGAATTAAGTAGATTAAGGGTGGACAGGACCTTAGTGACTGTTAACATTCTGGTTAGCAAAAATCTGGAGAGAACATAGTAACGATCATCATTATCACCTAGCCATACTTTCACCTTAAAAAAAACAATTTAAACAAAAAAAAAGATTAGCAAAAGTATTAGTTTAATTAGTCTATTAAACAAGAAATTAATTAGTTGAAGTTGAAGGAATGTACCTTAACAAAGTCGTATTTGGAAGAATCATTACGTTTGAAGATGAAAGGACTTGACATTCCAACTGATTCTTTTTGGAGTGACAAGAGGAGGCGTTACACTCCCATGTGTTGTGTTTTCATCTCGTTAATAACAAGGCACAATAAATATGCATACCATAAATTATATATGGTAAAAGTGAACCGTGAAAATCATTTACACTTACTTTAAAAATCAAACTTCACCCTCAACTTCGATAAATATCATTCTCTCACCCCCCCCCCCCTTCCTTTTCCTAATTAACTTTTTTTAAATGTCTACTCTACCCTTGTATTATCAATTTTTTTAATAAGAGAAAATGGTCTAAAATTCTTCAAACTATACCTGAAATTCTAACTACACACTCCAACTTCACGGGTGTCCTATTACCCTTCTGAACTGTTTAAAACTGATATAATTTACTCTCTAAGCGCTTATGTAGCACAGTGAGTGTATCTCACTCTCTTGTAGAGAGTGAGGACCAAAACAAATAATAAATTTTATTTTTAAAATTTTCTTTTTGTTATAAACCATTTGTATTATAGTGAATGTCTAATTATGTGGAGTCCTTGTAGGATATGGTTAGGAATCCTATTTGGGGACCAAGTAAGGTTTTCCCTATAAATAAAGGGTTTTCCTTCATTGTAAATAAGATTTGTGAAAAATCTATGAAAATAAGAGATCTTTTCTCTTCTCCTTACTTTATTCATTTTCTAATTTCATATAGTTTCACAACATGTTATCAGTACGATTGTTCTATTCTTAAAGAATTGTGATAGAAGACGAGAAAAGTGCAAAAGAGATCTTGCATTATGCAAAAAGGTTGCAATAAGGTTCTTATATCTTGAAGGTATGATTTATCTTATGTTATAATTATTTATGTAATAGATTTGAAGGTACCATTTAAAGTAAGTATTTAAAGAGAGTTGTTGACTTTTTATACATTTAATTTTAATCGATTGGAAAGAAAATTTCTTAAGTTATTTTGATAATTGAATAAGCACAATTTAGTGAAAGGTATGTTTTCAACCTTTATATGAGGTATGTGATCTATTAAGCTATATTTATTAACTACTAATGTTGATTATAAGAAATCAATAATATTAATTATGTCTGTAATTATAATGTACGATCATATTAATGATCATCAAAAGTGATAAAATTAAATTATTTTGAAGGCTTGAGGTTGAGCCTCATTGTGGGTAAGACGATAGATTTAAGTTTTATCGCACCAAAAGAATAAGACGGTGAATTTATGTCTAATAGCACAAAGAGGGTAAGACATTGGGTTAAACTCCTGATGCACTATGATGATAAGATATTGGGTTCAATACCCGTCGATTTATGACCTAACGTACTTTTATATGGATAAGACATTAAATTTGAGTCTTAATGCACCATATTGATGATATAATAATGACTAAAGAAAAACTAATGTGTTTTTTATGAGAAGTCATGAAATTTACTGAATTTGCTCCATTACATAAAGTGAATGTGGTTGTAGTGAATAATATGTCTAAAAGAAGACACGTGATTGAATAATGCACATAAATATGGAATACGGTACTAAAGCTATCATAATTTGATAAGCTCACATGTTTGTGTTCCATTCATGAAGAATGAGAACTTTTGATAAATGCTAAAATATGGATTCATTCTCTAAAGGGAATGAGGTGTAAGCCACCATGCTAGTCATGAGAAAGATTGCGACATTGGTCAATGATGTGGTGTCACCAAGAATGTCTCTAAGAAGACATGTATTATAGAAAAGTTTCATGTTTTATCTTCGGGCTTGTATTGGACAAGAATTAATGCAATTGAGGCACATTCTATGCTAAATAAGAAGTTTACTAATTTCAATACTTTCTTAGTTTGGCACGATTGTCTAGGACATCGTTAGTCTACAATGTTTAGATGAATTATGAAAAATTAAAATGGACTTTCATGGAAGAACCTAAAATTTCTTTTAAATGGTAAGTTTTCTTGTAATGATTGTTAGCAAGACAAGTTAAATGTGAGACCATCATAAACGAAAGTTGAGATTAAATTCTCTGTGTTCTAGGAACGTATACAAATATTTGTGGACCTAGTCATCCACCTAGTGGATTGTTTAGACATTTAATGGTCCTAATAAATGTTTCTTCTATATGGTATCATTTGTGCCTATTATTATCTCGCAACTTGATGTTTTCAAATGCACAGTTTTCTTCAGATTAGTTCATTCAATGATGGGATCATGACTCATCTAAAGGGTGAAGTAATTAAGAAGAAATAAATCTGAAAATTACTCTTGAATTAATAAAATTGAAATTTAATCATATAATAGTAAATCAGAAATTTACTAAAGCAAAAGTACATGACGTAGTAAACTTGGAGTTTACGAGTACTAATAATTTTATTAGTTGGCATGAATAATTTGATCATCCCAAAGATGTGCATACTGAGTAATGGACATACATTGAAAAACTAGAAGACTCTTCAAGAATTCTTTACGTTGTTTGTTCTCGTGATAAAGTTGATTGGATCAACTAAAGTTGGGACTAAATCCCTAAAATTTTGAATAGTATAAAAGGTGAATATGAGCCCGTTCACTTATCATGTGATATGATAAAAAAGATGCATCCACAAGATAATCATATGTGCGTTTGTTGTCAACATGTAGTTTGACATTCACAAAATTGTTTGTGCAAAAAAAATTGAGTTAAGAGCACAATTTCAGAATATGTAATCAAGACAATTTATTTTGATAATATTAATAAATATATAAGATGCTGTGATATTAAATGTCACACATAGTGAATCATTGCTTAAGAAAATAAAGTTTCATGTGTTGATCTGAAAAATGATATTACATACAAACGTAATTGTATGAATCAAACCAATAAGTTATGATCAATTTTTCTGTTAATTGATTTATGGTCAGGGACTAAATAGTTTTCATCTGATAATTTTGATTTGCAATAGATGATTAATGAATATACTATGATGCACAAAGATAGTTTGTCTAACATAAGGGGGAGATTAGAAGCAACACAAAAGTTGTAAATACTCCTATTGAATGTCCCATAGAGTCTATGACATGCATGAAACATGATAGACTAATCAATTCTAAATAAAATAATCCTTGAAAAGGGGGGAGGATCAAAGAATCAAAATGATCATAATAAGGATACAATGTGCTCTTGGAGAGACTACGAGATAACACTTTATAAAACCTCATGAGAGGGGTATCTAACTAAAAATAATGAAGTGATGAGATCTCAAGAAGTTATGTCTTGTGAATTGAAACAAAATGATATATTGTTGACAATATCTTTGATACAATAGCGCGCAATATTATAAAAGATTATGAGGATATGAATTCTACATCTATTAAAGCATGCTTGTGTAGAAATAATTATCAAGTGAAAAGTGGAATGATGCATCTTGGTAAGCGTAAAACTTATTTGACTTGCAATCTAGGCACTAGAAAAGATGTCATACATCTAATATTGAATGTTGTTACTTAACAAAATTAAATATCCAATCGGTTCAAAATCTAAAGCATATACAAGTTTTTGAAAAACTTGTTTGTCATCCTCATAAGGATTAAATCGATTCAAAATGCATGAAGCATATACAAATATTGTTATGCAAGTTGATAACTAGAATTGAAACTCTTGAAGAGTTTTCAAAAGGCAATAGATTATTTGCTTAAAAAGGTTAAAGTAAGGAACTTGCAGAAATATTTGATCTTGAAGTGAAGATTCATAAAAGCAGATAGAAGAAATCATATTTCATCAAGGTTTTTTTACACTAATGAACTCCCAAGAATGGTGATATCAACATGTAAGAGGTATGTTCAAGTAATACTATAGTTGATTTATTCACTATGTCTCTACCAACTACAACTTTCAAGAAGATGGTGCACAAGCTTGGAAAACGAAGATTCTAGTTTCTGAATTGATGTTGTCATTAGGGGGAGTTAATACGCAATGTACTCTTTTTTCCTCACTAGGTTATGTGCCACTGGATTTTCCTTGTAAGGTTTTTAATGAGACATCCATAATGCGTATTATTAGATATATGTACTCTATTTCCTTCACTAGATTTTTTCCCCACTAGTTTTATTTAATAAGGTTTTAACAAGGCACATAATCTACCGACATTCAAGGGGGAGTGTTATAAACAATTTGTATTATAGTGAATTTCTAATTATGTTGAGTCCTTGTAGGATATGGTTAGGAATCCTACTTGGGGACCAAGTAAAGTTTTCTCTATAAATAAATGGTTTTCCTTCATTGTAAATAAGATTTGTAAAAAATCTATGGATCCTGAATATTCTATGAATAAGAGATCTTTTCTCTTCTCCCTACTTTATTCATCTTCTAATTTCATATAGTTTCATAACACTTTTCATAAATATGTGTATTTTTAATTATTCTTTTTTTTATTATTTATTTCCTTTCTTCTTCACAACAACATAAACCAAATCTCTCCATCACTCACCTTCTCTAAGTTTGGATTCACCTTGGATTTTCATTTTTCTTCTTGATTCTAGAATTTTGTTTATTCAATTTGTGCACGAATTTAGAAAATGAACTCCTTATTAATATTATTAAAATTGATAATCATCATGCCTAACCACGTGCCTAAATAGATTAGCAAATTCTTATCTTTATTTTTTGGTGCCCTAGTTTAATAATTTAAATTCAAGTTCAGAAAGAATTTTGGATTATCAACGAAACCCATATGTGATTTTGAAAACAAAAATGAAAAGATCCATAACAATTGTTATGTATCCATTACCTCAATTTGAAGAATTCAACAAATTCATCCATGAAAATAACTTGAGTATCAACCAAATAGTAGATGAAACTGTTAGAACTAAAATTCTTACTAAATTTTACCTTTCAAATGGATAAACGCTTGATGTTTGCAAGAAGATGAAAATGGTGAAAAAAAAGATTATTCAATTGCAAAAAATAAAAGATTATCAAAGATTTATAACTTTGCCTTTTAACAATAAAACTTAAAATTTTATAACTGTATATTCCATAAATTTAAGTTTAAAACTTGCATAAATAAAAAACTTAGAAATTTTTTCTTCAACGGCAAAAAAAAAAAAGAAAAAGAAAAGAAGAAGAAAAAGAAAAGACGAAAATCGCTGGAAAGAGAAAGAAAATATATTTAAAAAAATAAAATAACGAAAGATATCATAATTTTTTTATCAGAAAGTAATACA